GTTCATCAGGCCGTACCGTCACCACAGCTTTAGGATTCACTGTATAAACAGATCATTGCATTAATTTTAGATTCAAAGTTTTAGATGTTCTGTAGATATTGTCTCTGCTCTGTATGTTGTGTCAGATACTATGTTTTCTCTCACCTGTAACATTTACCCACAATGCATCACTGTATTGTGTGTAGTAGACTGGTTCCCCTCTTCCAGCTCTACACCAGTACTGGCCTCCATCAGACACTGAATCAATCTTCACTCTGTAGGAGTTTGTTTTTTTCTTCTTTGTCTCAGAGTTCAGTGTGTGTTTGTACCAGTAAAAGTCCCATTCAGGGGACAGATTCATGCGACAGGTCAAAGTCACTGTGTTTCCTGTCAGTGCAGCTCCTGCAGAATCTGACATGAGTTCAGGCTTTGGGTTCAGATCTGCAAGAGAACAAGAACAGATTTAGATCCTGAAGAGTCAGAGTTCAGCTGTGTGAGACAAATCACTGAGTATAAGCCTCATGTAAAATTTGAAGAATCTCAGACACTTTTGGCGCTTTTCCACTGCATGGTACGGCTCGGCTCGGTTTCTTCTTCTTCCATTTTTTGGCATGTTGCATCCTGTGTGCATATCACCACCTACTTTTGCTGTTATGCAGTAATGGTTTATTTATAGTTATACTAAGGGGCCGTTGAATGCTTGAATCTGATTGGCTGACGGACGTTCTAAGGTGTGCAATTATTTTCAGGAAAATGCACAGTGAACGTAGTTCCAGGCAGCTCTGGACCACATTACATGTCCATATCCTGCCAAATGATTTCTGTTATTTCAAAGGTCTTACAACCGCACAATAACCAAAACAACACTGGCCAGACAAATAAATATAGTAAGCAATATGATAAAAGTGCAGATAATTTCCATGTTTTGCCACATAATTATGTTTTATTATGTAGGTAAAGCACATATACTCTTTCTCTCCCGCTCTCTCTCCCTCACAGACGCACGTATACATAACTTACAGTACAGAAACATACACGCGCTAATGTTGTTATCGCTACTCCGGCAATTTTATTTTAAAAGCTACATAATATAATAACTTAAAGTTTCACTGTTAGTAGAGACGCTGCTGCCGAACAATTTTGAGAGACACACAGAGGTAATATACACAATCTCTCTTTCTCTCTGTCTGTCTAAAAACTTAATTAATATCTGCATTAGTCTGCCATCAACAGCTCAAGCCTCGGTTACTAGGTCTAAAATGACGTTATGGAATCAGCAACTGAGGCGTTGGATGAGATGCAGAAGAATTGAATCCTACTCACAGTAGTGTTTTAAGTACAAAAACCAGACGAATGCCTTGAAATATATCGTCTGATCAATGTCTTGAGGTTTGACAACTGTAGTATAAGCGGAATGATTGACTCCGGACCATTGAATTACTAGAAAAATAATGCACACCCGAGGTGTTGATGCGGCCACTACACTTTTAATATAGATATTAATTTTACTGTATTCAGCTGTTTCTCCATTAAGCCTGTATGCCCATTATATATTGCCTTAGCTAAACTTAAGATAACTTATTACATGGTTGCTCATGAGTCATGGATGTTATAGAGACAAATTAACTATATTTGCCTTTTGTCTTTTGGATAACTAGCTGTAGGTGTCACGTTACGCTGCTGCGGGAAGAACGTAGCAGACACGGAGTAGCATTCACAGTCTTTAATGATGAAAACATAGGATAATCCACAATAGGAGCTGGGCAAACACATGTAGAGAACAAGTAGACCTGACCAACACAAACTGAACAGACTAGGACTTTTAAACACATGGCAAAAAGGGGGACACAGGTGACATCAATGGAACATAATCAAACTAAACAAGGACAGGAACATGACCAAATAAGGAAACACAGGAAGGACTGCGGGGGCAAAACAGGTCCAAAAGTCTGACATTTTGCCCCCTCCCGGAAGGTGCGTCCTCGCACCGTAACAACAGAGGGAGGCATAGGTGGGAGCTTGGGAGGAGGCTCAGGAGGAGGACGGACACCCGGGAGGGGGCTGGCAGACAGAGACCAGGGAGGCGACGAAGGAGGGAGGAGCCAGGGAGGAGACAGGAGGGGCCCGGAGCAGGAGGAGCCAAGCAGACGGGTGACGGTAGGAGCCGAGGTGGAGCCGCTGGGTCTATGGGCAGAGGCGGAGTCCAGGCCTCGGAGGCTGGAGACGGAGGGGAGGGATTCTCCAGCCATGGCGACGCTGGAGGATGGCATACCTGTGGAGCTTGCACCATAATGATGGTGGGCTGAGCGCGAGCAGAGGGGCTGCCAGACAACAGCGGTGGAGGAGGCAGGAGCGGGTGGGAGGGAAGGCATTTGTGAGCCTCCGGGCATTCAGGGCTAAACTCTGGATCGAGAACCCTCTCTAGGCTGAACAGGGGAACAGGATGGCGCTCTGGAGGAGCGGACACTTAAGGGTGCTTTCAAGGACCGGCACTGGAGGGCGCTCTGGACTGGATTCGGGGACTGGAGCCCTCTTCGGTTTGGCATTTTTGCCGCGCCATACTCAGCTCACCCTCAGCAGCAGCTTTTTCCCTTGCGGCAGGAATTGGCTCTCCATCATCTGTGGGCTCGGGCTGATGCTCCGCACCGCGGGGAGGTTGCGCGATCCATTTCTCGCCAGAGTCCACTCCACAAAGGCAGCAAATTACACTCGAAGACCATCTTCGGACGGCGGCGCTCTGCACGCGGAGTTCAGGCTAGTGTCATAGAACGCGCAGAGCGCGTTGTCTGGGTAGCTGGTAAGATCGGCGAGGGCGAGAAACAGTCTGGCATGGTCCTCGAGCGAGCGCTCCACCCCGAATTCCTCTTCCTCCTGCTGGAGCAGGGGAAGGAGGGGATCCATAGAAACAACGGGAACAAAAGAAAACACTGAGGAAAAAATGGAAACAAAAATGGAGGGAACACACGGAGATAACTGTAGGTGGTCAGGTCTTCTGTCAAATTACGCTGCTGCGGGTAGAACGTAGGAGACACGGAGTAGCATTCAGTCTTTAATGACTGATGATCCACAATAGGAGCTGGGCAAAAACATGTAGAGAACAAGTAGACCTGACCAACACAAACTGGACAGGCTAGGACTTTTAAACAGGGCAATTAGGGGGACACAGGTGACATCAATGGAACATAATCAAACTAAACGAGGACAGGAACATGACCAAATAACGAAACACAGGAAGGACTACGGGGGCAAAACAGCTTCAAAAAGTCTGACAGTAGGTAGCTTAGTCTTTTGTTCATCCCCACTCACATCCACACCAAGACAAACACAACTGGGGGGGCGGGGAGGCTTGACTTCTGCGGCTCGACTTCTGTGGCTCTCTATCTGTCTGTGATGTGCCGATTAATGTGTGCTACACTGCTGTGCTGCGGAGACGCGGAGGGGAGAAAGGCATCGGAACTCGACAGTCTCAACATTTCCCGACATTTTTTATTTTTTAGACAAGGAAAGCTGTGCTCAAACAGATAGGCTACACACACACACACACACACAATACATATATTCATTTATAAAAAATTAAATAAAAAACTCCCCAGAAAAAAGGACACTTTCTCTAGAGGAAGAAAAATGGCAGGTGCTCAAGCCCCCTGATCTCTATGTGTGCACATACCTGCAAATTACCATCTGTCTGCAAAAGGTGTAAACTCTCCATGTCAAGGCCTCGATCAATGTAAATTCCAATTGTTAGTTCCTGTCTCTATTTGGAGGATGTTTGTCTTGGTCTGAATATTTAAGGACATGTTGCAAGAAGATCAGCGTGATTCTGTAACCAGATGAGCCCATAGTGTGGATTGTGTCTATATTCCATACTATGTATTTTTATAAAGTCGGGTATGCATATTTAACTCTCAGATTTAT